AAGGATCTCCTTAGTGATAAGTGGGAAATGTATCCTTTGGGTAGACCTGTATCCCCACCTATTCACTTTAAACACTTCAGCTTTTCCTGTACACCTCTACATAAAATTTCTCCAAAACACCCTGTCATTGACTAAGAGCAGGGGAGCTCAAACTCTGACCCATAGACCGAATGTAGCCTGCAAAGCCATTGCATCTGGCCCACAGGGCTCCCCATAGATCAGGAAATGTTGTGGCAAGAGAGCAGAGACCATCAATACAGTCACCCTCCCCCTGCCAAATTTCCAAACCTCAAGCCCGGCACACCTGGTTGGAGCTACCCCCTTCCCCCTGTGGGGCTAGGTTGGGGTTGGGCCATGCCTACTTTCCCCCCACTGGGCTGATTTGGGGCTGGGTCACTCCCCTTTCCCCCATGGGACTGGGTTACATCCATCCCACCCTGCAGGGTCAGATGACACCCTCTTTCACTCCTGAAAGGCCAGGCTCAGGTGATACAGCCACCCCAACACCCTTCTGCATGGCCAGATGGTGGCCACCGTACCAGGCCTCGCCCTGAGCACTAGATCAGAACCACCATCTGGCCCAGCATCAGACCAGGCACTGTCCATCTGGCCTGCCACGGAAAAAGTTTGAGCACCACTGACAAAGAGCATCCAGGATGCTTTTTACTTACAATATGTGACTTCAGCTTCTTCCTAAACAGCCACCTAAGTCAAAGAACTAATTGCTGCTCCTTTGTCATTCCCTGTTGTGAAGGGATTGGAGCTAATGTATATATCTTACCCTTTCCCATCAATCCTTCAAGCGGCAGTATATCTCTTATTCTCAACTCTAATGAAGAACATAGAAGTAGTTGATCTGAAGCCTGACTTAACACGTATCATACCCTGAAGCTGTCATCTTTACTTTTACCATTTCACATCCAGACTTCGTAACCAGCACTGGAAAAGTGTTGCTTTTTGGAACCTTCTGTTCAATCAATATGGTGTCTCCGCACCAATGAGCTCTCACTGAATGCTAGGGTGGGTAGTCTCAGATAAGTCAAGGTCTGAAGTGTAAAGGTCTGTCCCACCCTTAAATAGGACAGGGTTATGGGTTATGCTTATGCTGTACCTGGTATTTAGGTAAATGCAGTAGGTTTCTAAGGTTGTCACTCCTGCAGCTTTCATGAATTCTTCTTTTCTTTTCTTATTGTGTGAACAGGGAATGAATGCATTCACTTTTCTCAACTGTCATGCTTATCACTGGAACTCATTAAGCCGTTTTCAGCTTATGTTGGCTTTTATACTTCATATATTTTTGACAGAATTATATTTGAAAAAAAAAATCTCTATTATTCCATTTTACTTGCTCAATTTACATTAAAGTATTATATATTTGTCAGCATGTATTCACTTCTAAATAGGATAAGGGAAGCAATAATGCTTCAAACTGTATTTCCTTTCAAATCAGAGATGCTGATGTGCTTTCCTGTTCACACTAAATAAACCAGTGCATGGTATCTCTTTGGAAGCAAAACAAAGTGTTTTATCATTATGTGTTATTTAGTTTTAGTATTTTCAAACTGCTATTACTACACACAGCTGCACATATCTGATAGTGTTCTGATAGCTTATATACATGAAGACAGACAAGGGCTGTTTGGAGAGAGACAGACTCATCTATTATGAGACTGACACTTAGGCTACCATTACAAAATTCTCCCATAAGAGATATATAGACTATGGGTAACAAAGAGCTCCCATGGTGCTAGCAAAATTGGGATTTTGTTATAGAAAAAACCTTATCGAATTTGATAAAAAGATAACCTTTCTATGTAGCAAGTTTTATAACTGACCTTTCGAATGTAATAGGACTTTATACTAGGGATAAGGATTTCCTACTGGTCAGCTAAAAATAAAAGGTAAAAAGGTTGTCCTTTGGTCTTACATTCTATAGGAGTTTAGCAACAGTTCCATATAATGGTATTGATGTCCTTTAATATAACCAAACTGTTTTAATCCCTATTTCATTCTTCAGTACCTCTCCATAAGTGTTAGCATATTATAATCACCATCTTAAAACCCAGAAGTGGCTGTAGAGTCTTTTAGGTAAAACAGATGGTTGTTAAGGTATTGAATATACTTCCCTAATAGGGCACAGGTTCTGCTATTTGGAACCTTTGAAAATAAAGCTTACTTATCAGCATTCAAGATTTCCATGCACAGTAGAGTTTAATTCCATAAGATTACCACCATGTGACAGCATTGCTATGACAATTCTGGACGGGTAAAATGAAATAACACACTACAGTTAATTGTTACATTCATTAAAGACACACTTAATGGAGAAGAAGCACCCTTCATGATTTGATCAGTTTCCACAAAATGAGCCTTTGGAGTGATATTCGTAACCCTTGTAAATCTCAAGGTTATATAGAGATTTGGCATGGAAGGTTCCTTCAAGAAAGTCATCCTTTCAGTTTTCCAACAGTTCCCTAGTACAACAGGTGGCTGCCAAGATTTTGGATGTGAGGCCAAGACTGATTAACTTATCTGTGTGTATAAGGAATGACATCAATCAAACTTGCATACATTGCATACAGTCATAGATTTTTAATAATATCTTGACTGGAGACTGACATTGTCCAAAACTCAGTGTTATGCTCTTGTAACTTAATCTTACCATGTCTTTATTTTTGACCACTTACAGTCTTAGGACATCTGTAATGAGTGCAGTGGAGCCTTCTCTCTTCAAGCACATAACTTCCTTAACCAAACAAAGCTATTACTGAGGCAAGTAGCCAAGCACCAGGTGAAAGTCTAATCTCTGAAAAAATGCCATAGTGATAACCTAGGAATACTTATGAAGAATACAATTGGTCAAAGCTGCTGCAATTATGAATCTCACCACAAAAAACATAAGTTTATGGCACCTAGTAATGTGTTATATATAACAGAGCACCCCAAACATTCCTTTTGTGAATCTAAACAAACCACATCTCAAAAGTTAGTTTTCACCCTGTATCATCCTCCTCTAAAACTATCAAATTGCAGTTTAGCTTTGCAATACCCTTATATTGAAAGATTTTGAATTTATATAGAGGCCTTTGTTATGCTAATACACCTGTTGCAGTAGAGAAGGAACCATGCCTTCCATCTTTGTGAAGATGGGGCGCATTTACAGTCTGGCTAATGACAGGACCATCAGAAAAAAATATGTGCACAGACTTCTTGGTTTTTAAATCCTTGTTATACTCAGCCTAATCCTCAAAGAAAGATGGTGAGGACCTAGCAGGTTGTTCTTTGTTATGCCACATAGAAAACACTGGAATTCAGCATGTATCTGATGTGACTCCTCCTACTGTCCCATCCTTTCTTTCTCCCATTCTCAGACAATATCCCAACTTGTATATCCCAGTATATGTGATTACTGTCAGCCCAGTTACAAAGCTTTTATTTGAGAGAAATTTGCACATACTTCAGGGGAATGTTCTTTGAGAAGATGTCCCCATTTCTATGAGCAGTTCATTACAGTCAAAAATGTTAAGCTTGGAGATTTACCTATTATAGGGTTTATCTACATTGCTGTAGTGATGTAGCATTGACGGGCACAAAACCGTGACACCAGTTCTACCTCACCATAGTGATGAGTGACCTCACTATAGCGCATCGCTATGGTAACACAGCTGCTAAAAATACTCATGTGCCACCAGGATGGTGCAGTAACAGCTGTGCCTAAAGCAAGTACTAAATGACGGCGCAGTAACAACTGTGCCGTGGAGGGCATGTGTAGACGTGCCCATATAGACTTAGACGCCCACTTAGATGCAAAGGAATTGGCCATATTGTCTATTAAAATGTAACATCTTTCACAAGAATTTAAAACCATCATGTCATGTTCTCAGTCAATGTGAATGAATATAACTGGTGATTTTAACAGAGCTACTACAGTTGACACCAGCTGAGCACGTGGTCAAGTATATCTTGCTGTGACTAGGGTAGAAAATGACATAGTTTAAATCCCTGCTAGCAGTGGAAACATACTATGGGGTTGATGCCGATAGAAATAAAAATGAGAAGCAGTAACTTATTCTTGCTGCTACAGATGTAATCTCGTCTCTTTACTTAAATATGATATTCTTTCAAATGGAAAATTCCTAATGTGACAATTATACCAACAACCACTAGGTGACACTATCACATCAGAAAAACACTACTTCAGGAAAATGATGAAAGTTTGAGCTAATGCACAAAAACATTTGTATGAAAAGTCAATGCTTTTGTATCTTTCTGGCTAGGAATCAGTACAATAGTCTAAAAGACCTGAGATCACTGGTTACATTACAAAATCAGAGGCACAAGGTGGATGTATATTGATAGAAATTCAGAACAAACCAGCTCCATTTCAACATGTCTCTCTGTCAAATAGCTACAACATGCTGTGTGTCAATTGACAGTTTGCATTCAGTCCCTTATAAATCAGAGCTGTATCGATCCAAGATGCAAAATGTAATATGCATTTTTAAAATAAAATCTAGCCCCTCAAGTTCTCTAAGTTTGTAGGTGTTTACATTTAAAGGTTCATTCTGCCAGTTCTAGAATAAAGAATTAATCTGGATTCAGAACTACACTCTAAAGTTTGGTTTATATCCACTGCTGTGCGCTAAGAATTTGCTTTGGACACATTTTCACTAGAAACATCACAGTCCTTCCCTGTGATGAAAGGGGGAATGGGCCTTGTGTGTGAGAAGCTGACATGGGATGTAGAAGATATTCCGTTCCTAGCTCTGCTATGGATTTCCTGTGTCCCTTGGAGGTTGGCTGGGAAAAAATAAAGTTAATTATTATAATTGTGCTATTTGGAGGGGGTTTCTTTATGCTGCTGGCCCTAGTGATTTGGGCAATTAGACAAATTTGTGGTGTTCCAGTAATCATCTAAACTTCACAATCTTCAGTTACAAATCCAATTAGACATGTTTAATTTTTGCCAAATCTGATTTAATTTTTATCCTTATTTACAGCCATTGGACTTTGAAACAAAAAAGGCATACACCTTTAAAGTAGAGGCCTCCAATCTCCATCTTGACCATCGATTTCATTCTGTGGGTCCATTCAAAGATACTGCTACCGTGAAGATCAATGTGTTGGATGTGGATGAACCTCCCATTTTCAGCAAACCTATGTACACCATGGAGGTTTATGAGGATACACCTGTTGGGACTATTATAGGTGCTGTAACTGCACAGGACCTTGATGTGGGCAGCAGTTCTGTTAAGTAAGGAAGCATTTTCATTCTTACATGCCTTTCATACTAACCAAACTTATGCTAACAATAAGATTGAATGGAATGATGAATCTGAGATTGGTAATGAGATGTGGCCCATTTTACCATTCTAGGTAACTATTGATGAAAATATTTATCAGAAGTCTACACCAAGTTGATTAGCTTTCATGGTAAGAATTGGCTAGATATAGTAGACTACATAGACTATGGACAGATATCCCATTTGCCCCAGAAGAAAGCCTTTTGTCCTGGGATCATACAGATGTATATGTCCACTATCCCCCTTCATGCCCCACCAGATAAAATGTAGTAATACTTTTTCCTGGGGTATCTGGTTGTACATCTGTATAGTTATTGTGATTCATTCCAGTGACAAGCCTGTCACACTGTGTGCTTTTCCTGGCCACCTACTGGGAAAGGAACAGAAATGCAGCTTAAAAGGTCAATGTAGGTAAATGATGGTGCCACTCTTGTTTTGAGACAGATCAAACCCCAGGAAAGTCAGACCCAAAACAAATGAGACATCTATTTATAGCCATAGGCTGTTATCATCTTGATAGATGTGTGCCATGTCACAAAAGCATCATGTCAGATGATATAAACTGTCATGACATCCTTATCCAAAGCAAAGGCTCTGGCCATTCAACTGATAACAGAGTGGTTTCTCCAGGGAGTCCATGAAAAACCATTCTGTGGTAGACTGGAGAAAGTTGTGGGAAAGCAGGGTGGAAGAATAGACACAACTATTATACTTACTCCCCCTATATTATGCATAAATATAGGATTATCAATGCTCTCCACTTCTCAAACAACAACTTATTGGTCATATTTAAAATTCCATTCAAAAATGGTTTTTGAAGAATTAATATACAATTATTATATGTTTTCATAAATAATTAATTGTTATATGTTGTCATAGGCTGGATCCAGACATGCAGGCACGTGTGGTTTGTGGTACCACAAACCTTTTTGTGGTGCCACAAACTGCACATGTTGCATGTTAAGCCATACACGGCATTGCTAAATTACAGTGCTGGGGCAAAATTTGCTACCTGGATTTCCTGGTAGCGAAAAAAAAAATGGAACCAAACAGTGGTGCAAAGCATGCCAAAGTGGCATATGCTGGGACAAATGCAGAAATGCTGTGGAGCCCCAACACTGAGGCACTCTGCTACTCAGCCATCCACTCCCCAGCTGGTTGGGGCACAAGTGTGCCTTGAGATGGGGTAATATAAGTACCAACAGGGAGACTGCTCCCCTGTCTCCACAAGCCACAGCATGGGGGCTCCACTACTGAGCCTCCATACTGAAGTACATGGAGTCCCTGTACTGAGAGGCATTACACCCCAGCCTACAACTCTGTATCTGGCTGGGGTGCAGTTTGCCTCAAAATGGAGGAGCAGCCAGCCCAGCATGGGGGCTCTGCTGCTGATTCCCTGCATTGAGGCACACTGCATCTCAGCCAACTGTGGATCAGAATAGTATGTTTTTCTCATGGCATGGTAGTATTTTATTATAACGTGGTGTAATGCTGTAGTATACACGTACTGCTGTATCAATAAAGTACTTCTAGGGTAGACATGGCTTGAGACAGTTTTTACAGAAATGAACACAAATGCTCCTACAGACTGTGAATGTAGGATCTGGCCTGGATACAGACTGCAGACAGTTAGGAGCAATGGCAGTTTGAATGTACTAATTCCCAGATTTTGGCTCACAGACCACTTTTGGGCTGCAAAGCCACGGTAAGTGGTCAGTGGATCCTACCTTGCCTCTCTCTCCACCCCCTTTTCAATAAGGCATTGATGATAAGGATACAGTAGTCTGCAAGAAATTATGAAGGTTGAAAACCATCCATTGATTTAAAATGTTTGAGAATCACTGTAATACACTTGCCTTGGAGAAAATGTACATGTTAAAAGATAACTTCATAACGAATTAAGAATAGGATGTTACAGTAAAATAGTATAATGGCCACCAGATTTGTATACATACACTCACAAAATAAGATGTGAGCTCAAGTAATATTGTTTTTTGAGACTGAATTATTATATTTATATATCTGTGCTCATTTATTAGTGATAGATGTTCAGACCCAGCAGTTATGTTCTCAAACAATACAGGAACATGATTTAGCTGCCATGTTGTAACCAAATTTAAATAATGGACTGTGCAGTCATCAACTTCTTTATTGCTTCAGCAAATTAACTGAACACTGGCTTTATTAGTTTATAACTTTTCTCCCCATACAACCTCCATTCTAATCCAATGCAAGAATTTCTAGCTAAATTTAGGTTTGCAGATGCATGTTGATTTTTTCCACTGAAAACTGTGAACTCATTTATAAAAATAATTCCGTTAAAACCAGTGCTGTCTAGGGCCGCCTCTTAAGACCAAATAACAAACCACTTATACTAATGAGCAGTTACGCATTGGCTCCATTAGTGTGGTAACAGCCATCCGTGACTACTCAGTAATGTAAATGGCTTACAATCTGCCCCTAACAATCATGTGCTATATGCCTTTAGGCTCATATGCTGCAATCACATCTCCCTAGGGAACTCCCTGTTTAAATCATCAGACCTCTCTGCAGATACAGGAGTCAATCCATACAAAGCTTGTTGTAGTACTGAAGTCATACTTGTGCGGGCCGACTCCTGATCCTGCCCGGATTGCCATGTGCGAGCTCTCTCCTGATCCCATTTGGGTCACCATGTGCGAGCCGGGGCAAGCCGGGGACCCGTCTTTGTGTGTACACAGGCTGTGGCCGGTAGCCCGGGTACACGGGGTTGGAAAATACCGCGGTGCGGTATGGCACGCTCGAGCTAGAATCAGTCACGGAGGCGTAATGGTTGATTGAAAAGATTATTTACTTACACCCAAGGTGGTCGCAGTGTAGGCTGGTCAGCTTTCCAGGCTCAGCTCCGTTTGAGTTCTTGGTGGAGGACTCTAATAAACTCGGTTCCTTGACCCCGGAGTGAATCAGGCTCTGCAGGGTTCAAGAATTCGTTCCCACGGAGCAGCTGTATCTCCGTGAGTGTTACTCGGTTCCCAGGTCCCCCGGAGCTGTTAAGACTCCGTGGGTTCGACAATTGGGTCCATAGGATAGGGATACGTCTGGACTGCGATCGGCGACGGGGAGAAGCTAGAGGTTATATGCCCCGGAGTTGTTAAGGCTCCAGGGGTTCGGTAAATAGGTCCCCCGGATTTGTTGAAACTCCGTAGGTTCGACAAATTAAACCTCTGTTGCCCTCTTAAGGAAAAAGCTGGGTTCATATGGATCAGCAGCGCTTAGAGATCCTCACGCTCCTTTCCCGAACTCCACGTGCTTTCTCTCTCTCCGACTTGGGCGGAAACTACCCAAGCCTTTTGTACAGCTAGCAAGCCAATAGCTAGCTGCCACGTGTGCCTACATTAAGACTGGCCAATAACGTGGCTCGAATCTTAATACAAATGGCAGGAACTCCTTTGCATTGTGCATCACTATAATGCAAAAGAAATGAACTATGCAAAGAAAGCTACAGAACTGGCGGGAAAAGCTCCTGCACGCGGGTCCTCCATTGCAACAGAACACTCCACCGTGCAAAAGAGCTGCAATTTGGCGGGAACATGATTTAGCGATGCCGAAGCACACTCAAACAAAAAAAACCACAACTTTGGGTTGTGACAATACTAAGGGTAAAGTGCCCACTTCCACATTTTTTTCAATGAAATTGTCCCTTGGAGGTCCACATGCCAGGCTGAGTATCCAAATAAAAAACAGTTCCTTTAATTTAGGTTCCCAACTTTAAAAAATGGGCTTACAGAGCTTGACTCTCACTGGGTGCATCTACTGTGTACTTTACTGTGGAGTACACTAATTAGCTCTATAGTAAAATGTGTCCATCTACATCAAAGGGGATCAAAGGGGGCAAGAGTGCTCAAAAGTCCCCATGGCTCACCAAAAGCATCCAGGAACATCTCAAAGCCAAAAAAGAAGGCGTGCACCCAATGGAAGGGAGGGGCCATCACCAAGGAGGATTATACCTGCATTGCTCGAGATTGTAGAGGGGCTGTTAGGAAGGCTAAGGCAGAGATGGAACTGGGACTAGTGATGCAGATCAAAGATAACAAGAAGTCGTTTTTTAAGCACATAGTGGGTAAAAAGAAGATACCAAGTAATGCGGGGCCTCTGCAGGACATGCTTGGTAATCTGGTGGTAGCACCAGATGACAAAACTAATCTCTTTAACAGATTCTTTGCTTCCATTTTTCTGAGCACGGACAGAGACATCCCCCCCACTGGGATTCTGGATGGACCCAGGGGAGGTGCAGCCAGGCCCAGGGTCAGTGAGGACCTAGTCAAGAAACTTCTGGAGGAACTAGACGTGTTCAGATCAGGAGGTCCTTATGATCTCCACCCCAGAGTGCTGAGGGAATTGGCAGAGGTCATTGCGGGACCCCTGGCACAGCTTTACGAGCATTCATGGTGCTCTGATGAGGTGCCAGAAGACTGGAAAAGGTCCAATGTGGTCCCCGTTTTCAAAAAAGGGAGGAAAGAGGACCCAGGACACTATAGGCCTGTTAGTCTTACCTCAGACCTGGGGAAGGTCTTTGAGAAAATAATCCAGGAGCACATCTTCAAGGGACCAGCAGAGGAGATTATGTTTAGGGGCAACCAACATGGGTTCATTAGAGGCAGGTCCTGTCGGACCAATTTGGTGACCTTCTATGACCAGGTCACAAAATCCTTGGACGCAGGTGTTGTGGTGGCCTTAGTTTTTCTGGACATTAGGAAGGCCTTCAACACTGTCTCTCACCCCATCCTCATTAAAAAATTAGGTGACTGTGGTGTCAATGCCTACATAGTCAGATGGGCCACAAATTGGCTGGAGGGCTGCACCCAGAGAGTGGTGGTGGATGGGTCATTTTCAACCTGGAGGGATGTGGGCAGTGGGGTTCCCCAGGGCTCACTCCTTGGGCCCGCACTGTTCAATATCTTCATCGACGACT